GGGGGGCCAAGGCCTTCAGTCCGACCCTGGCTGTTGCAGTCGACCCCCGACCGACATTGGAAGATTTGGACCCGCGGTGATGCCGGATCGAGCTTGAATTGAACTCATCTTCATCCTTAGGCCCTATTTTCCCCTTTTTTTTCCATCGCTATAACAGAAGTCATTTATGCTTGGTCGAAACGCGGAATGGCGCGTCGAACGACCGGGACTCGCGGATTCATTCCCAGACGACCATTAACTCTCATGGAAATCGATTCGAAACCCCCATTTAATGGCAGGAGAAAACTTTCCTTTTTGAGATGACGCCTCTGTTTCCCTGCGTCGAGGGGGGTTTCCAGCGTGCTCGGGGATTCCCACAACGATCGTTTCCTTCTCTTCCGCTATGATCCTCGAGGGGAAACGACGTGTTCATGCGGCGACGATGATGAACTGATTGCGGCGACATCTGAACTAATTTCCGCGAACTGAAGTTATAAAAAAAAGGGGTATAGGTGGCACTTGGAGCAAAATCGCAATGGCTGCTGAATCCAGTCTGTCACGTGCGGAGCATGCTCCTCCGTCTGCCGGTGCCGTGGCCGGGTCAGTTCTATGTGATCTTCGGGGTTAGGCCCATTTGCTTTAAATAATTTGGGCTACCTCATGAATAATTTGGGTCACATTATTTATTAATTTTTTTTTTTTTAAGTGCCAAGGCTGGGAGCCTATGCAAAGATCTGGGTCTGTAGTAGCCTGCAGATGTCTCTTCGATGTCGGCGCGCACTTCAAGAGACGGATTTTAGGAGCCCTTCTCAGACCAACCGCCCCCTTTAACACTTCCACATAATCATTCGTTTGATTCAGTTAGTTCGCTTTCACGGGCACGCAGCCTCCCGATCTGTCCTTTATCACTGAAAGCTCAGGAGCGTGTAAGAATGTTTCCACCGGCAGAATCACTAATAAGTTTAATTGAACTCATGTTGGTGAAATTAATTTTTCTCATATATATTTTCAATGAGCTACGTTTTATAACGCATTTCTAGTTTTAATATGATTAAAGGGATTTAGGATAAGAGATGCTATACATTTCCCTCCAATTTGTCTACTCTTGACAGCACCTATGCCATACCCCATTGGTCTGCTTTTATGGTCTCCTCTACCTTTTATTTCTCCCAGACACATTGAGACAACTGAATTGTTAGCTAGACAAGATGAAAGTGTTTTCTATGCCCAGGTTATTTTTAGTCTTCAGTCTGTCTTGAATGATTGCTGAGATAAGGTTGCTCAAAGAACACTGTACATCAGTATGTGCTGAGTGATGTTGGCCAAGCCCTGTGAAATGGACTAATGTGTCTGCAGTGATCAGGTAAGATAAGAAGTTTGCACAGGTGCATCTATTGATGCAGATGGGCTAATGTATATGGTTGGTCTCTTAGGGCTCATCTATGCCTACAGACTTCGCCCTCTGAGGGACCAATCTTGCCTTGCTTAAGGAGCTTCAGGTTGTATAGACCTAAATTGGACTATGAGCTAGGCATACAATTTGACCGTACATTTGTGACTTTGCAGTACCATCTTTTTCAGATCAACTCAAGGGATTGTCTTGTGCACAGGAGTGTATATCAGTTCATATCTGGGACTGGAGAGCAAGTTTAGGCCACCATTTCCAAATACTTATTCTTGTGCTCACCCCTTCCAAGATGGCACTTAACAACTGTGCACAAAAATAAAAATATTCATAGCCATTAATGGAAGTATTGGTGAGGCCTATTTTTTTGGCATGAGCTCTTCAGTGGAAGGTGAATGAGCTCATAGCTTGCCTATCAGAGTGAGTTAGCAATTTCCAGCTCAAGTGAAAGGTGAGCAGCAAGTTGAACAGTAACCTGCACTTCCCAAATATGAATCATGTTCACATGAGGGTGGTGAAGCTTGTGGCATTGAGACAGTTGATGTGTCAACAGTCAATGTGCCTTTTGAATAGCACTCACAGCCATGTGAATAATATGACTGTTGGTGTATCATATCAGCCAATACGTAAAGCCTCATCTACGATTGATGCAGTTCTGGAACGTCAAATCCATTTCTTCAGGGCTTTATCTGAGTCAAGTTTTGTTGCCCAAGGTCAGGAGTTTCTAATAAACTCTCATGATTTACTTTCTATATCATGGGCCAGCTCCATAGTGCTTGCTACTTTTGCCATCCGAAGTTGCATCACACTCCCATTCAAAATATATCAGGTAGGTATGCCATAAATGAAAATACTATATACTTTTGTATAGGCTAGATGTAATTTTAGTATAGCCCTGAATGAAATTTAACTTTCTCCAGCCTAGAGAAAACTTTCTCTTGCCCAGTCCTCCCCATGACTGAGACAACTGCTTCTGTTGGAAAATAACTTTTTGGAAGGAAAATATTTTACCATTTTTGCACTTTTTTTTACATAGATTTTTAGCCTATAAAAACCTAATTTGTTTTGTGTTTTAAAGGAAAGCTTCTGGAGAATTCTCACTTTGCTTGTTTGTTTTTACAGTAAATCAGAGGAACTTTGCAGAGCTCTCAGGGTAGGAATACTCCAGAGAGTTATGACATTCCAGAGTGCCATTAATGTTTAATTATTAATGATGTAATTTCAATTATTATTTTCTCACTGGTGAACCTACAAGGTAGTCTGAATTCTATAGACAAGGCATATACTACATGATTCTATTATCAGGTATGACTGGGACCAGGGGGCATCCCTACAAGCCTGCAGTAATAGATATGTAACAGTTTTTGTACATCATTAGAATTTCGTAGTTTTAGCAAATTTATTTCTTTTGTGTCTGGAGTGCCAGGTACAACAAACTCTGCTCTGTATTGTAGCCATGATTTTGAAGCAATATGTTAGGAAATTTGTTATTAAGAAGGCAGAGGAAAACCTAAAGTTTAGCAGTTTACGCATCCTGACTTTTGAAGATTAATTTTTTATTTCTCGTAGGGTTGATAGATGTATATGACTGTGACTGTCTTGTAATCTCTGAATGTACAGGTAGAATGAGGGAAACAAAGAAAGGAGCATGGTGGATCGCTCTGCCAGAATATAAAATATGCTTGCAGTTGGCAATGGGAATTATGCATGACCATATGACCTATCTTTAAATTTATTATCCAAGAATTCATTTTCTATTGTTGCTGTACCTGATTAAAGCTCCTTATTTTCCTCTTCTTTATCAGCTATCATCATTTCAGAGATAACCTTGGCTATTTCCAAAATCAGTCTGATCTGCAGATGGTTGAAATGAGCTTCATTCTGAGACCTTGACTTATGCTCGGAAGAGGTTCTTGTATTTTGAGTGTTTTAGTTATTGGGTGAAATAGGAAAACTTTAGTAGCAATTGCTGCTCCAGAGTGGATGTGTTCATTATTGCTCATGTTGCAAGGCATGGGTGTCATTTTGCATTAATGGCAACAGGCTGAATGAAGTCAACAGTTTCTTGATCTGTGTACTAGATCCACAATATTAGCTCATCAAATTTGGCTTGCCATTTTGCAAAATAAAAGGCTGTAATCACATTCATCAGGATCATTATCATGATATGGATGTGAGGAGGATCCAGTTCTGTTTTGAGAGTATTCAGTTTGATATATGAATGATACTGTGGTAGTGCATCATTGAAGGCAGTCACTCTGGTAACTCACTGGGAGTGCTCAGTTATTGATAGCACCTTAAAAGTAGCACTTAAAAGCACATGCTCTTGGTAGGCCTTTTATTGCTACATACTGGCAATCATGATGGTTTCTGTTTTCTCCCTCGAGATGAAAATCATGGCACGATATGAATGTCTCCAACCTGAAATCCAGCAGCTTGCAAAGGATCTGAAGAAAGAAGTTGGAATTGCAACTAAGGCCCTGGAGTGGGATTTCAAGACAGCCCAGTTTGCATTTAAGCGATCGGTATGGCTTTCAACCTATAGGCTAACTATGGACAATTTTGTATTCATATTCTTAGGTTAGTGAATTTTTTTGTACTTCTTCAAGTAAATTTTCCAGTTCCTGGATCAGTGATTCCCTCTACAAATATTATAGTGAAAATAAAAAATAGGAAAAAAAAATAGGACACTTTGCTCTCCAAATCAAAAGGGACAGAAATATCTAATTTGTCTCTCAATGACGAAGCCTGTTTCAAAGTTCCACTTTTTATTGAATTCATGCTTCAACCCAGTTCTTAGCCATTCAGATGTACAGAGTAAATGACAAAGTGACCTGCTTTCAGTCAATAAAACTTTTCACCCCATGAATACACATGACACTTGGCACATGTCATGGAGGAACCATTTGACCGATACACATGATGCTTGTGGACCAATGGGGGGAAAAGTATCATGAGAGGAAGTAAAATTACAGAGGTAGTGCATTAACCTCTAAAGTGGGGAGTTTTCATTCCTTGTGTTTGCCTCTAATGGGGAGTTTTTTACAGTGAAGTAGACTGATTTTATGTTTTGAAAGTAATTTCTTTAAACATTAATGTTGTTCAACTGTAGTTGAATGTTATTGTAACACAAGTTGTAACAGAAATATCCATCATGTCCTTTTTTTAGAAAATATCTCTATGACAGTTATGTATGTCAGATCCATTTAAAATCATGTGTACTTCCTGTTGCATATCTAACCATGGATGGTCAGAGATATGCTTTGAAGCAGTTGTTCAGGAATTCTATTCAGGAAGAGTGTCTCAACAGTGGTTTATGGGTGGCATTTCAGGTTGGGAAGGTACATTTTCTAATGTAAAAGCTTGAGCATCTTTGTTGCTCTTTGATGTTTCAGAGATTACTTTTCAATGGTGGTGGAAAACAAGTATTTTATGTTTTCCAAAATAAAGACTTAGAAGTCAAGTGCTTCATTTTTTTTTTGCTTGACATCTTTATCTTGTCTATCAGAATTAATATGCTGAATTTCACATTTCAAATTTGGTATTGCCAAGAGTTTCACTATATGTAGAGTGCAACTAAGTCAACTAGTCAACTCTGATGATTTGTTATGTCAAGAGTACATTCATCTTTGAATAAGTCTCAGAATTGTAAGAAGCTCTTAAAAAGAGATTTTTTATATGAAAGTATGCCATCTTCTTTATACTCTTTTGATCAGATGAAGAAACATGTGAACGAATTGATAGTGCGAGAGAACTGTCACCCAATGAAAGGAACAATCCTGGTGCTCATCCAAGTTCCTCTCTGGATTTCCCTGTCAATGGGTTTGCGCAATCTGGCATTTGGCCTCCCCAGCCATGACATGAGTAAGTACAACTACTCTTATGTTGTATTACAAGGTTTCTCTGGATTTCCACCAGATAAAGGATATGCTTGTAAGAAGATTTTGCATCCAAGTATTGTAACAATTTAAAGTGTAGGTGAGTGGTTCTGGCAGGAAATGATTCAGCACATGCATAACCGTCATGTTATAAATTAAAACTTTACCAACCGTCTAATACTGTGAGTCTCAGAATTTAGTTTTGTTGAAGATGCCATATTGTGAGAAAATTTTGGACTTTCCACTGCTGCTTCATGTACCACTCCTTCTCAAGCTGATGATGGATCCCTTTAAGTAGGAAACATCTAGATAACTCTTGCTTCTCCAGAAATTTAAGTCCTGAAGAATGGGTTTTGCAAAGCAGTGAGATGTGTCTTTCCACCTTTATGTCCCTTGTTTAGCCTCATCCTCACTACAAACATTTATATTGGCAAGTTGACTTGAGTAAGTGAAGTAAAAGTGCATAGAAAACTTTCTGCTACAGCCTAAAGAAATACATCTTTTCAAGTTATAGCTATAATTGTTATTCCTACATAATTCCTGTTTAATTTCTATGTAAAGTCTAGAAATGGCATGTTTGTTGTATCCTAGATCACAGTAGTAGTGCAATCTTATATAGAAAATCTTATATAGAAAAACTTTCAGAAAAAGTCACGAAACCCCCAAAATCCCATCTATCCTTTCAAGTTTTTATTTTTATTTTCAGCAATTGGCAACTTGAAGAAATTTTAGTGATTTCCTTCATTTGGGTTGTTCAAGAGTCAAATTTAAAAAGATTGAAATACTTTCCATTGAAATGTCCAATTTGCTTAAACCTACCATCTGCATGTTCTCTGGTCTGAATGAAGGCTTGGGTTTTGTTGGGGTTGCCTGTGGCCACTGCTCCAACTTTCAACCACTATCCATTTTTCATTTAGAAAAGGAAAAAATAATAAAAGAAAGGCCCTATATTCATGTGGTATGGTATTTATTTGGGAGTTGACCTCCATGAGAGTTCTGATTAGCTTTTGTATACAGAATTGTTGAAGTCCTGAACTATTTTATGATGCAAGAGAGCTCATCATATTGCAATGGCCATTGGGGTTGTTATCCTATGGTGATAGCTTGGGCAAGGTGAGATTCTTTGGTGCAATATTGGATGAAGGTCTTATCCAAAAGAAAATTGAGTTACTTGAATTCTTGGATGTTCTCCAGGTGTTAAATTCCACCAGATGGAAATGGAAGTTGGTGGAGCCCTCTGGTTTCCCAACTTGGTGGATATGGATCATTTTCTCATACTTCCTATAACATTTGGCTTGTTGAATCTCCTCATTATTGAGGTAAGTGTGTTAGTCTTTTTGATCAACAGGTATGGCCTATTACTGAATGTAAACCCAATGTTCAGTCCTTGCTCTTGTCCAGCATCAGAAATATATATTTCAGTAGGCCTAAAAGTGGAAGGTGCATATGATGCACAAATAGTCCTTGCAATATTATTATGTCAGGTTTTTTACACTTCTAATCCAGTTTTAAATTAAAGTCTGGCTTCTTTCATCTTAAAAATTCTGTAGGAAGCATGTTTTGGCCATCTCTAATCACTGTGGTTCTCCTACATTGATTTTCAAGGGAGGTTTTAAAGTGAGGTCTTATGAATACCTAGAGTTGTGTTCTTTTGCTTATGATTCATTGTCTCTGTGATTTCAGGTGGAGAGGAGAAGTGTGGTTGGAACACCAAGAGGTCTCCACAGATTAGGTCTAAATTTTGGACGTATAATGAGTGTAGCCATAGTCCCTATTGCCACCATGCAGCCTGCAGTAAGTTTGTTTCCTATATTTAATGCTTCACATGGCTCTTCTCCTGCAGTCTCCATCCAACCTTTTCCCAATCATCCACCAGGATTAGACTTTTATTTCCATCTCATAGTTGGTCTTTGATGGAAGTTTGTCTTCTACAGGCAGTGTGTCTATACTGGACAGCATCCAGTCTGTATGGACTGGTACAGAATGTGCTGTTGAAGCTTCCTAAGGTGCGACGGTTCTTCAGGATTCCCCATACTCCTAGTGAGAGTGCTACTCCCATCAAGGATCTTTTCAAACAGCGAAAACCAGGTTAGGTGTGACTTTTTATTCAATTTTAATATTAGTCCTGTGAATTTTCAGATGATTTATGGGGTTTCTCCTCTGTAAATTGAAGAATGATGATGATGTGACTGTTAACTCAGGCAGTCAAGGAAGTTTTGGTGGAAACTATGCCCTAAGAAGAATTGTCCCTATATAGAGATTGTACCTTAGCAAGGGCAGAACCCTGTATGTGTTGTCTGCTTGTAAATGAAACATTATGCTCTACATAGTATGAATTTCCCTAGTTAACTTGGCCTTCCACCAGGACAGGCACCACATATATTGAAAACTGCAGATCACCTGATACAGCTGAGACACAAGGTCCTGCATTGATTCATTTGTCCAATCCTTTTTGAATTTGGCCTTGAGGATTGTTATTCCATGACTTTAGCCTACTTGGGTGACTGATTCGCTGCTGTTGGTATGAAGTCCAATACTACCATGCAACTGGCATGTCACTTGCACCTCAAGAAATGCTGTTTCAAGGAAATGCATCTCTAAAATGCATTTTCTAAGGAATGCTAAAATGGTCTGTGTGCCTTGCAGCACCCAAGCACTTACAGAATTTTGGCTTTCATATGTCCTAGAGCAGAGTAATTTTAGACATGCATTTTCAATTATCTTGAGTTTCACTGTGATATTTGTAAATAGTTTGCTATGAGGATAATTTTTAGAGGGTTGAATTCTGAGGTATTCCTGCAGGAACTAACAAAAACTCTGGTGAATGTAGCATTTAATATCAAGTGTAACTTGATAATGTCCTTATATTTTGATACTGGCAATGTGCTTGAAATAAATAATTCAGGACTTTTTTTCTTTGAGATAGGACATGTAACTGAACCAGACAATAACTTACTTTAAAAAATATATTACCTTATTATGGTGAATAAAGAACAAGGAAGGGAATGATGGCTTGGCTCAGTCACCATACTTGATCATAGTCCCTCAAGCAGGGGCACCATTCCAGGGTTTTCTAGGAGGCCTAGGGGGAACTCTCAGTTTGCATGGCCCCATGAATGAAAGGGGTCATTTTTTAGGTTTTCTGTAGCTATGCATCCCAAGTGATTCTTTAAGAGCTGAAATATTTGCATCAGTGTTAATGGGCTTCTTGATGCTTAAAAGTTCAAGATTGCTTTCTCACTACTTACATTTGCCATCCACCTGCTTAGTTTTACTTCTAGACATAATGAGTTTGACATAGAGACCTCTTATCATGTGGGTGATATTTGGAGCCAAATAGAAAATGATATGAACAGGGTTTTTTAGATTCATAGTATTAAGAAAGGAATCATGCAATATCAAAACTTGCCTTTAAAAAAAGTCAGAGTTGACGTGGTCTTTACGCAATATGTTCCCATTTGACTCCCAAAATTAGGCCATTGAAATAACCAAAAATAATGGGAGTTGGACAAATGAAATGCAAACTTAAATTTTTTTAAATCCCAGTGTTGCTTTTTACTGTTTAAATTGCGTGAAAAAAAAAAGGCCTTGAATCAATTTTATCTGGAAAGCATACTCGGTGAATGCAACTGTGTATGCCTAGCATTTATATTTTCACTTCCCATTGATCAGTGTTTACATAATTGAAGCACATGAAGCAATGGCATTGGGTATATCCAGTTGATCCTTCCTCATGTTGTGATTAGAGCTCTCCATTTTGTAAACATCCTGGCTTCATTAGAAGTGTTTGAGTCATTCAAGATGAAGCTTTTCCCTTAGGACTAGGGTGAGCCATGCCCTTGGTCCTGTTTATCCTATCTCATTTCATTGCGTGCCTCATGCAGAAAGATGGCCACAGTGCGTAGCACTAATTTCATATTGTTTTGTTTCTGTCTTGCCCTGCAGGCTTCTGGGGTGAGTATTGTTATTCTTGATAATACTATATCAGCACATAATTTCAAATATATTTGTGCTGATATAATTTCAAATATATGAATGCTAAAGGTTAACTGCCTTTTTGTGCACTTATCAAAGAATCTAGGCCAAGCCCTTGCCAACTGTGCAGTTTTTCCTCTGGTCATTTGTCAGTATTCATGGTCATCCTGAGTTGGACTGTTCTCTCAGTTTCATATTAAACATGTATCATGGATATGAGCATCTTAGTAGGCAAAGTATCAATTGAATCTTGGCTACTGTGTTGAGAACAGCTCCAAACAAGATAGTGTTATGGAAATATGGGCTGAATTTCTTTGGAGTCCTACTTTTGGATGGTCTCTAACAATATTATTACTATTCTATAAATGAGGCATTATAACTGGAAGTCCTGATATATATCATCTGTTTCTAGATTTCTGAATTGCATGCCTCCAATTTTACATTTTGGAAACTGTGCTTACTAGTCATTTATGCCACCAATTTCAAAAGTGTGGTTATCATTCTACCACTATACCTTTTGCCATCATTAGTTGAGAGTGATATATTTCTAACAAGAGGTCTACTTGGTGCTTGCATTCTCAGGAGTCTACATGAAGCATTTTTGCCTCCAATTTATGAATGGATCTTTACTAATGTCCAGTCTTCCTGGATTGCAACAGTTCTTATTTCCATGGTCTCTGTTTAAGGTCATTGCTTGTGCCAGATATGAGGCATGGTAGAGTTAGCTGTGAGTGGTAAACATGATCTCTTGGCAATTTTGGTACTCCCCAACTGGACTGTTGTGGAAGGGCTTCTTCCAGATTCCATCATACATTCCTTAACTGAGGTTTATTAGTGTCTTGCATCTGCATCTGCAGCCTAAGGATATAGCATTTCAAGGGTCTTGAGCCTTGCTACTTTGACAAGAAAGTTGTAAAACAGGGATTTGGGTTGGATTTGTCATATTTTTTAGTAGAGTGTAATATACATTTGTAGGAACAATCTTTCTGATTTAAGGAGTTATCTTCTGCTTATAGAGGAGATATAACCCATCAGTTTAGTCAGGGGTGCATATGCTTCCTGTAAACCATCAACTTGTCATTGAGGCAGTGAAGATTAATCAATTGATCAGGAGCATGCAGATGCTGATACTGCATCTTGACTGGACTTGATACTGCAGGAAGCATGGATGTCATTTAGCAATTAAGTTCAAAAATGAATTGCTAGCAATTCTTGGAGATGATGATACCATACAGTCTTCATGCCAGTGATAAGTTGATGCTAGAAAATTATTTGACTTTGGGCTACCATGTAACATATTAATTGGGAAAAAGAACTATGACCAAGAAGGAGTTGAATGATCTTGATGAAAATGGGTACACAAGTTTTTTACTAGCATACCATGACATTGATTAGAATTTTGAGGGTGTGGGATGAATACTCACTGAGAAAACTTGCCGAGCAACCCAATTTCAGTAGATGTTCTGAGGTAATATTAATTGCCAGAAACTATCGCCTAGATTGCTTTTACTCATGAAACATGGCAAGGAAACTATAGATGTGTGGAAAAATCTAACAAAGTTTGGTGGTCATGAGATGAGGCAATGCAGAGAAACCTTGTGAAATGCCTGAGGAATTGGGGAAGATGGCAGCACCATTGAAAGCACTAGTTGCCTTTTCACTTCCCTTCAAGCTGGTTCACTATTGGACCATTGTTGAGAGTCTAACTACAAGGCAGTGCCAAGATAAAATCTCTGGAGGCAATTTTAGAACAACTTGCTTGGGTGTTTGATCAATGTTGGCTTATTGGGATGCTTGTATCAGCTTAATGCATTGGGCTGATGCATGCATTTAGTTGATGCATGGTAAGTATCCCATTTATCCTCCTTGTATCACACATCCTAACATTAACTTCTTGAAATTGCATCTGTGGATTTTATCTTGGCATTGCCTTGTAATTAGACTCTCAACAATTTGCCCTGTAGTGATGTGGCTTAAGGAAATGAGAGAGGCAAACTGGCACCTTCAATGGCACTGTAATCTTCCCCAATTCCTTGGGGATTTGGAAAGTTTTCTTTGTATGGTCTCATCTCATAACCCTCAACTTTTTTAGGTTTTCTGCTCATGTTTGGGAGTTCCCTTGCCACATTTTATGGGTAAAATCCTTATAGGTCACAATTTCCAGTGATCAGTATGACTCCATGGCTGCTATCAAAATTGGGTTGTTTAGCAAGTTTTCTCAGGAAATATTCATCTCACTTCCTTGCAACTCTAATGGATTTCATGGTATGCTAGTATGAGCTTGTGTTCTAAATTTCATCAGGGTCACTCAACTGTTTCTTGGTCATGCCTTTTTTTTTTGCTGTATAAAATTGTCATGCAGTTTTTGCCTGTTGTGTTATGACAAATTTTAACTTAATGGGTCAGCTATGCATTTGTAATTTTTTTGTGGCACATAGAAAGTTCTGAATATGAAATGATCAATTTTTGTTTTTTTGCATTCTACACATTGGATTGCACAAAATCCATATCAGGCTTTATCATGTGAGAGGATTAAAGTTGGTTTTGTCCATGACCAGAAAATATTAAGATCCTGACCTAATTAGAGGAGTGAAGATTGTATACTGACAAATATGTTTCATTCCATATCACAGATCCAGTACAGAGTCGAGGAGGACAAGACGAAACCAAAGACTGATGAACACAAAGCTGAAAACATTTCCCGTTGGAAATATGGTCACAGAGGTGACAGTGAACCTACTTTGCGTAGTGTACCTGTAGTAACCACAACTCCAACCACAACCCCAACTTCTGTCCGGCAGCAAGGACGTAACTCAAACCTCCAAATCTCATGCCCACAACCCACAGGCCTATTTCTTCATCCATCTGATTGTACAAAGTTTCTTAATTGCTGGGATAATCGTATGTTTGTCCAGCAATGTCCTGCAAACCTTCACTTCAATGCCAGGAACCGGGTGTGTGATTGGCCCAATCAGGCCCGCTGTATGGTGGTACAAGCTCCACCCCCACACCAACCTGCCCAACCACCCCCACGCCCACAAACTCAACCACCCCTGCGCCTATCTACACGGCCACCCCAACGCCTACCTGCTCCTTCGCCACCAAGGAACACCCATATAGCACCTCAATCTCCTGCAATGCCTCCTAGAGGAAGAGGTTCTCCCAATCAGCAGCAGGCAATAGTTCAGGAGGCTCGGAAGCAACATCAACTTTGCCCTGCTGAGAAGGGACAATTCCCACACTATGCTGATTGCAGTCGATTTGTGAACTGTTGGAATGGAAAGCCTCACATTCAGAAATGTGCTCCAGGGACTCTTTTCAACCCTGAGAAGGGGTTCTGTGATCATCCCCATCAAGTCAATTGTGACCAGAGTGAGTTCATGTGTGTTTTTGTTTCTTTCTTTCTTGCCACAAGTTCTCTTCACAAATCCTATGAAGTGTAAGTATTATGACTTTGAATTGGGATTTATTAGCCAGGTCTAATTTATAGATGATAATTGCAATTTTGGAATGACAGACCAATAAATGGAATTTTGTAACACCTGATGAAACAACACTGCTTGGCAGGTTGATTATAATAAAAATCTGTTTGCAGAAAAATGGATGAGTTCTTGTTACATTTCAATACAATAATTAGTTGACTGGTTTATAATGATGGAAAATTGCTTTGGAATTCATGATCAAAAATCATTGACAGACTGGAACATGACTTAATGATTTGAAGAAAAAAACAATGAAGTTAAATGGAGTCTGGAGGAGTCATTATGGAATTGAATCCTGTCAAGGTAATAAAACCATGTGGATGGTGCTCGGTATTGTTCATAATAGTTCAGTAGGCCTGCAATACTTCCTATTGAAAAAAAAATAAGCATTCTGTTTTTCTTGACCTCAAAAGATACTGATGGAGTGGGGATAATAGAGCCTCGGATGGACTCAAGCATATCCTCAGTATCCATGAAGGCTTCAGTCTCATCCTCCTCCTCTCCTGCATACAAACCCGCATCACCAAAGCCAGGAGACGCTGTCGTCGTGATGACTCCCCGTCAGCGCACTCCACCTCCCTCGGGCCAGCGCCTTCGATTGCGTGGTGGGAAGGGACCTTGGGAGGGCTACGTCCAGGTCTTTCGTGATGGCCAATGGGGATCAGTCTGCGACTCCCAGTGGACACGCCAGGATGCCAGCGTCGTCTGTCGCCAACTCGGATTTGTCAGGTACAGTTCATTCGCGCACGATGTACTTGTGGCTGGAGTTCCAATGAGGCATTCCGTGATGAGAGTTGATTTCAATCTTCATTTGTGTCCTCTTGAAGAGGTGCACAGAAGGAGACACAAGGGGAGGTGTTCCCTGGCATTCCCCTAGAAAGGAGTCATATCACCGAAGTAAAATGCTTGGGGAACGAAGAGAATTTGTCCAACTGTACTCTCACATTGGGAAGCTTCTGCCAACCTACTGTCATGGCTGGAGTTGTCTGCCAAAATAATTCTGCCTCCAGGTGCACAGAAGTGGTTACTAGAGGTACTTACATTAAAAGGAAATTGCAAGGATTTAACGTAAAAATATATATTGCAGGTGCAATATGGGAGAGGTCCCACATGGAGGGCATTGCTACAAGTTCTTCCCTGATGTGAAAGTGAGCCATCAGGAAGCCATGATGGTGTGTCATTCCCAGTCAGGTCATCTTGTCTCCATTCAGACTCAAGAGGAGAGCGACTTCATCTCTGAATGGCTCCTCACCCTTGGTCTGGATCTCTTTCCCCTTTTTAAAGTGTGAAGAGTTACGGATTGCTATTTTTGGATTTTACATCACTCAAAAGTAGGGCTGTACCGATGTATTGGCAACCACCGTTATGGGACCATCGGTTCCATCGGCAGGTTTGCAAGCTGCCCATGCCAATGTCCAAAGAAGAACAAAGAAAAAGAATTAAAAAAAAAAACTACATGAACGGAGCTTGGCAACTGATTCTGAAAAAATTGTGGCTCTATGCCTCCGATGCATCCATGTATGAATGGATGTCGTTTTCGATAGTTGGAAGCGTGGTTGGGTTTATTACTGTGTCGGGTCTTTTCCATGACGGATGAATCCCCGAACGCATTTTTCCCATGAAGGATATTTCCCAGATAAGATTCTTCCCTATTGGAAATTTCCCTCGTAATTTCCCCGATGGAATTATCCCCGCCGAACGCCTTTCGGTGGATATTCACCTAAAGAGTAAGCAGCCAGTACTCATCAGCCATCAGTTTTCTTCATTCCTCGGTCAATACTCGACAAGAAATATGTGCCGTCATCTGTCCTGCGACATTTTCAAGCGCCTGGTCCTTCTGTACATCACGTCCGTCAACCAACTTCGGTAACGCATGTTATGCGACACACCTTGAAGGTAGCTAGTACGATCCATCTGCCTCTCCGCATATCGACGGACCAAGGTCTTAATTCTGAGGTCCAGGTTGTAATGTTTATTCAGCCTGTGGGGCGAAGCGCCACAGCAAGGAGTTTCACAATTTTCGCTTCATTCAAGTTCTGCTTCATAAAGTAGGGAGTGTAACTGGAGGAGACACTTCAAGAGTAGGGGGTCGAAATATTGCAGGCATTTGATGGCTTGTTATCAACAACACTTCCCTGAAGCGTGCTTCGTGGCAGCCGAATCGGGAATCGATTCGTTCGGGGATTCCCTCCACGTGATGCGCGTGTCTCATGGAGTCCGCTGCTCGGCCGTGGAGGAGTTGTTGATGTGTGCACGCGAGGTGGAGGATCGAGAGTGATGTCTATTTTGCGATCCTGCCGATGAATGGGGGTCGAGCGGAGTGTTGACAGTTGTTGCATGCGCTACTCTATGCCCTGCGTCATGTGAAGGGCATGGATGAACTCGAGGAGATGGAGATGACGTTTCCCGCATGCCTTCCCGAAAGCACGGTGCCAGCCTTCTGTGGCATTCGTTGTGAAGGGGAAGATGGGTGCATCGCAGATGTTGATGCGGAAAAGGGGGTCCCATTCGGCGATTTCTCCTCGTTCTTAGCATGCACGTGTCATCGAAGTAACATAGAGGTTCTTGGTACTCTCATGCCTTTTGGAATACTTCGTTCGGGGAGGGAGGGGGATTTTCCTCCGGGATTTTTTTTTTCCCCCTTCGAAGAATAGGCATCGGCTCTATCAAGGGAAAGCCCTCCGGGGAAGTCCCCTTTCGAGGAGGTGTACCTCCTGGGATAAGACCGTTCTGAGAAAAGTTCGCTCTGGAAAAATTTCTTTCCGGGAGTGAACCGTTCTGGGAATTATCTTTCAGGGAAGTGTCCGTGAATCCTTTATCGTGACCCCATTGTGCAGTCAAGCCCCCCCCCCCCCCCCTTCCCCCCTCCCTCCCCCCACCTTTCTTTCAAAGACCGCAGGTGCACCGCATATTCGTTGGAATGTGGCGCATCGGGAGCCATTCAATCTGCTGGTGCGGGGAGCCCAGACGCATAAAAAGCCTCCATTCCCTCGTGATCAGATCGTAAAAGCCAGGAATCCCCGCATTTCCATCCCATAACGGCGATCCTCCTTCCACGATTTTCCTCGGAAGTAATATATTCTCCACTTAATTCGTCACTCGTCGCCGTGCGTCCATTATCTAATTAAGCTTCCTCATATTTATTCATTTCCCCGTGTTTTCTAAGATTGATGCGAACCGTGCCGGGGAGATCCGGCCCTCTTTCGCGGAAAAGTCGAGTCGGCGATGGGCTTCCCTCGGTGAATATGTCAAAGGCAGCTGTCTCGTTATGCCACGTCTTTCACTGGCTGCGACCCTCTTTTCCTCCTCTGATGGAAAAAAAGAAGCCATTTCTGGGGGAGAAGCGGATCCCGCGAGAGGATTCGGCACTTTCTGATGAGGTTCCCCGCGTGAACCTGATCGAACCGACAGGCGTCGAATGCCTCGGAAACGCGGCCGTCAGACGCAGATCTCGTGGGCTTCTCGATTTTGCCCTGACTCGACTCGAACCTCAGCAAAAATTAATGAAAGATAAGAAGAGTCTTACCAGGTTGAGATGCGATTCCCACTGAGCACGGGGACGGGCTGGCAGGATCGCGAAGCACTCGGGCATCGACGCACGGCGGCGGCCATGATGACCCGGGAGACTCACCTCCTGCCATCTATCAACTTTAATCGGAACTAGGCATTGTGCCTCCCAGTTGCCTCGCGGGTGGATCTTCCAGAATTCCCCGGAAATTCTTCTTCATTGTCAGCCTCGGTCAAACCAGAAATCACAGCCGTTTGTGGGATTCCGGGGCAACATTTGTCGACCCGGGTCGCTCGGTGCCTCCCTGGAAGAGGTCGCTCGATGCCGGAGAGAGAAAAGGGGGAAAGGAATTCGGAGATCCCTGAAATCCGCCTTGATGATGGGTCCTTTCGGGTCCCCCTGGCCAGGCGATAAAGGACCCATTCCATTCCCACTCTTTTTTCCATTACTCTCTCTCTCTCTCTCTCTCTCTCTTTCTCTCTTTCTCTCTTTCTCTTTTCTTCATTCGTCTTTTCTTCCTTCTTTTTTCTCTATTTGCTCTCTATATCGAATCTCGCAGCCGGTCATTCGTCAAGGCGCAACCTGGGGGAATTTCCTGCATTTTTTTTTAAAGGCTTTTTTTCAATTTTTTTTTTTTTTTTTTAGCAGTGTGAGAAAATGTTAATTATTCTCTGAAATTCAGGGAAAAGTTCATGCGTTTTTCGCGAAATTATTTTCCTTTCCAGGTTTTCTCGTTAGTTTCTCCTTTTCCTTCCTCGAATCGCTCCCGGAAATTTCCACCGCGCGCGCCTCAAAACTCCCGCGCGCCTCACAACTCACCCGCGCGCCTCGTAAAGTTCGATCGACTCGAAAACCGACGAAGAAATGGACTCTCGGGGCCCGAACTCACTCGAAGCCTCATCCCCTTGGTCTCAGATTTCTTGCTCTCAAGTGCGATGAAGCGGAAAACGATGAAGGTCCGTCCCCCATCGATTTCCATTCCCCATTCCCCCTTGTGGTCGATCACGGAGGAGTCCTAGCAGTAAATCTCATTGCTCCGGCCTCTCCTCCAAGGAACTTGGACGTGGGGAGCGCCCTCTCGGGGTTGGCATCGCGAGGCGTTCGTATCGTGAGGCGTTCGTATCGACTTCTTCTCGGTTGATTTCCCGCTGGAACGATGAGATGTAACCGCCTCGAGCTTTTTCGTTTTCTTCCCTGCCGGATGAATCCAGATATGCTAAGTTTCCCCGCCTCGAGCGGATTTGCGGAATTTGCATCCGGCCCGAGGAGTCGGGTGTCCGTCGAGAGGGTGCGCCAGGGTGCACCCCCTCTTTCGCGAGGGTGCTCCATCCCCATCCATCCTTCGATGCGATCGGACAGAACAAATAAAGCTGGGGGATTTTTCTTTTCCTGGTTGTTTATCCGACTTGGCAGCCGTTTTTGCAGTCGGCGCCGTCTTGCGATCACGGTCTCGCTCACGCGCTCACCGTCCCACTCACAATCTCGCTCACGGTTTCAGAACTCGAACGAGATCGATACCCCCGAGGGAATCGGTCGTTAGACCGCAGATTGCCAGGCTTTTCCCCCTTTTTTTCCTCCCCTTTTTCCCTTTTTCCCCGTGATTGGCCGCGTCGGACAGTGTCGCCCGATTGGATTCCATTCATTACAAGGTCTTCCCTTCATATCTGCCCTTTCTCTCGCCTCCGTTCATTCGGCTTCTCCTCGTCTTCGTCGCCGTTACCCGACGCGATCCGAGTGCCATCTCTCGGGGCTCGGGGGAACCTTAATGCTTTCCTCCTCGTTTCTCGGGGTGACAAGTGTAGGTGACATTCGTCCCCCCCCCCCCCCCCCCCCCCCCCCCCCCCCCCCCCCCCCCCCCCCCCCCCCCCCCC